TTTTATTTAGGGCACAGGAAGAAAGAAGTCTTATTCTGTTGCAGAGATTGTAGCACATCAGATGAGGGGGTTATGAAAGTTCAAACACACACAAAATTTGTCAGCTTCCTCACTGCCCATTTTGGAGCTAAGTGCACACCACACTAGATGTACACACAGGGGTGTTACAGGAAAAGTGCAATGGTCGTGTTTAAAATAGCACCAACCCTTCCTATCTTACCAGCATTGACTACAGGGAGAGGCACACCCACCCAGGCCTGCTTTGTGCTTCAAATATTTTTACTGGTCTGACTATTTAGATTAGAGATGGAATTTCTTTTCAGCTGGAATTGCCATGGGAGTGAAAGCCCTCAGGTAGAGGCCACTGTACAAGCATATAAGTATGTCCATAATAATGGCCATTCAACATTCCTTTCAGTTTCCACATGAAGTTAGGCAGAGCAGTATAAGATAACACTGTGGTTCTAACCTACACAAGTGAAGAGATAGCAGTATGGTTTTAAGTTCACCAGGCAGCAGTTAGATTTTCTGGATTTGTCACTACACATGGATGGAAATGGCTGTTTCACCTTCTCTAAAGCTAGGCTTGCTCACAGCAACTGAGGGTATAAACTGTGTCTGACCATACTGTTCCAACAATGTCCAAAGCCAGGCTTAACCCTGCAAGTTGATTCCAACCTGGATATTGAATCTGGCAGTCCTCCCTCTGGTGACTGGACTGTCTCTAGATTACTCCTTTGGCAAAGAAAAGTCAAAACTGATGATCCAATTGCAGTGAATTTAATTCAGTGACACCATTACTTCACAAAGGCTGACCAGTCATTATCAATTTCGTCACTGCTGTCTCAAAGTAGACCTTTGTAAGACCTGCTGAGTGTCACACACGCATTGTATGACCCTGGAGACATGCTCTGGGTTGGGCTGGGCCTGGTCAGACAAGCCCCTGCAGGGCCAGCATGTCACACCCGGGCACAGCCTGCTCAAGGCATCTTGGTGGCAGGAGGAGGATGATGGCAGCTGAAAGACAGAGGCTTGGGCTGTGAGGATCCTGCCTCAGGACAGGGGGAAAGAGGAGCGGTGCAGCACTACAGCTGGGGGCTGCAGGGAGGGACCTGATGCTGCTGGTGCCAGTGCCAGCATGGGAGGCAGTGGTGGCCTCTTCTCTACATTGTCCTGGCCCTTCTGACATTCCTTTCCCTCACACCCCAAAATGTAACCTCAGCTCCTGAGCACTGTCAGCCTTGCTTTCCAGGTGCTCTTGGCTACAGGGCCATTTGCTGATCCCTGCTCTTCCCAGCTAAGGAGCAGCTCTGGTGGCTGCTGGCCACCTGAATCATAGAATCACAGAATGGTTTGGGATGGAAGGGATCTTAAAGATCATCTCATTCCAACCCTCCTGTCATGGAGTCATGGTCAGTGACACCTTCCACTAGATTGGGTTGCCTAAAGCTTCCAGGATTTAGGCATCCAGAACTTCCCTGGGCAATCTGCTTCAAAGCCTCACTACTCTCACGGTAAGGAAATTTTTCCTGATATCTAATCTAAACCTATCCTCTTTCAGTTTTAGGTCATTCTTCCTTGCTCTATCACTACATGCTTTTGTTAAGCGTCCCTCTCCAGCTTTCCTGTGGCTCTCTTAAGTTAATACGTATAAAGTGAATCCCAGGAAGACATGGGAGGAGGCTGGTTTGAGAAGGAGGTTTCCCTAGAGCAAAGGGATTCAGTCCCTACCGCACTGACAACTGCCTGGAGCAAGAAAGAATATGGTCCTGCTTGGGGTGCAGTGGAAGCAGGCATCAGGGGATCTCTACAGGTTTATTATTAGTTTATTATTGTATAAGCCACTGTGTGTGGCCTATGGATCTGGCCTGAGCCCAACTAACAGTATTTTGTGTGTGGGATCTGAATTGCACTGTCCAGTGTGCAATCTGCCTCTGGCATCATGCATGGTGGGAAAGGGCTGTTCTTCTCCCCTCTGCACAACACAGTTGTAAGCACATATTTGGTTGAAGGGAATATCTGAATGAGCTGGGCTACCAAACCCAGCAGTGAAACTGTGCCTGCACATTGAAATTAACTGTGTCATTCTGTTTTAAAAATAGGAGAGGGAGAATCAGTCCCTACTTGAACTGGGTCCGGAAAAAATGTATGCATGACACTCTCTGCTGCACAATCTGTCCTGCAAGCTCAGCAGAACCAATTACACACTGCATTTATGGACAGCCAACAGCAACTTTCCTGACTCCTGCCAGCATGGGGCTTTTTTCCTTGGCACATCTTCTATCTCCAATATAGACACTGGACCAGGAGCAAGACCTCAGCCACAGCCAGCATTTGATCTTGTGTGTAATGATGTCCTGCCTTGAGCATGCATGGAGGACAAGTTTTTCCCTGAGAAGCCAAAAACCAAGGCTGTCCTTGATGAGCCAGTGGTTGTACTCACACTGTGCAGAAATCATGGAGGCAAGGGAAGGAGAGCGACACAGCTTCTCTGTCCAGCTCTGAAGATGGATGCTAAGGGTGTCCCCATTCCATGTGTGCCTCCTACATTGTCCTGATGGGTTGCAAAGGGAAAAAACACCAATGCCTGAATGAAAAATATGTTTACATGTCTTTAATTCATTCCCAACCAAACACCCATCTTTTGCTGCGGCCAGCAGTACACCCAATTAAAGGGTTTATTTTTGTGTTAAACTATCTCTCCGTAATTATGGAGTGACTATGAAGTGCAGCTTTTCTGTGTGTATGTTTGAAGAAGTGAAGGATCTGACATTTTCTCCATTTCCTAGTATATCACCTACATTTTCATTTTCCTTTCTGTCCACACATCATTAGCTGCCTCCCTTCTACCAGACAACCAGCTCCATTAAGATAATTTTTTGAAAGAAAAAAGCAAAGATGAAGCTGCTTGTGAAGTACCTTCACAGACACTAAGAGAGGTGTCTGACAAGGCATCATTTGTTACTCTGTCATCTTTCTCATCTGTTAGTCTAGGACACCTTGAAATAAAAATTAATTATATGGAAAATGGTTTAGAACCAGGAATGAACTTTACAAATGTTTACTATTTTGCTGTAAAACAGTTACAGAAATGTTAATTAGAATTCCTATATATCAGTACAGAAAAAGAGTCAGGAGTAACTGAATTTCAGAGTGAAAGGACAACCCTGCAGGTTTTCTCCACTCTTCATTCAGTTCCTCCTTCTCTACAGGACACAGTCTTAAGCTGCACCAAGGGAAATTTAGGTTGGATGTTAGTAAAAATATCTTTATGGAAGGAGTGTTAAAGTACTGGAATGGTCTGCCTGGGGAAGTGATGGAGTCCCCATCCCTGGATGGGTTGAAAAAAAGATTGGATGCGGCACTCGGTGAGGTATTAGGGCATGGGTTAGACTCAATGATCTTGAAGGTCTCTTCCAACACAATGATTCTGTAATTCTGTGATAGGATGCTGGCTGGAGGGTAAATTCATATTACCAAAACCAGAAATGGAAGCTGTGAAAAAAAACCCACCAAAACCTACAAAATTTAGAGAGGAAAGGACTATTATAAAAAAAAATATCAATAGTTAGCTTGGTACTTACACAACCCTTACACGATAATTTCATCGAAGTCTTTTGCAAAATAAATACCACTGATGTCTACTTAACATTTATCCAATGTGCTTCATAAAGGTGTCCATTAGGTTTCCTGGGTTATTTTATCCCATGTATTTGCAAAATGTTTAAATGGAGACATTTAGGTTCAAATGCAAGAGCAGTAAAATAGAAAAATAAAGGAATAACAGGAAAAAAAATCCCAGAATTTGATTTTAGATCATTTTATAGCAATAAACTAACATCTTAAATTACAAAGAAAAGCAAAATAGAGGAAGATATGCATATGCTCTGATCTTTATAAGTATTAGTACTACTTTATTACAGTCTTTCATGTGCTTATTTTCGTTTTAGTCTGAACAATTAACTATAAAGTTAAGAAACCTGCACATCACTGATTTGTTTGCTGCTACCAGCTCTGACAGGAGTTTTTGGCACAGGGATCACCTGCAATTTTTTGTTTAAAATGCTGTTGTTTCTTTGTCATGAGTGACTTTATACATCTTGATTCCCAAGTAATTAATTTTCTCAGCAGGAACCACGCAAACTTGTCATACCTGAGGAAAAGAATTGCATTGTTTACAAAACTATTTTTAAAAGAGTAATTTAAGTTTGACCTAGTAAAATATCAAGTGTTTTCTTATCTGTCAGCAACGGTATTTTTCTTATCAAGTTATGCAGCCATTCGGACAACTGAGAAGTAGCACGCTTCTGTGTTATCTGTTATTATGATGACAATTATTTATTAGTGCTGTGGCTACAATATTGTCCCTGGAGGCTTCCTGTAACTGAAGTTATCACTTTCAACACTTTCAACAGCTTAATCACTTGTAGCTCTTTTGATACAAAATTATCTAATTATCTAATTAACTGGGAAGGGATGTAAGTATTTCATATTTCTCTGACAAAAACAATACAAATGTCCCTCAGATACACTTCTGTGAAGTAAAGCAGTGGTATAGGATCCCCTGTAAAATCATACAGTTCTCCAATTACCCTCATCACAGAAAGCCTGAATGGGACAGAGAAACCCATTGCTGGCTCAAGGAGCACTGGTTTTGGGAACATGACTCTGCAGCTCCTCATGCACACACATAAGTTGGAGCAAATGTCACTGAAGTCATCTGGGACCCCAGAGAGCAGCTACAAGGCAACTATTTCCTGTGCTCGTGTCATTCCTGTTAGACAGCTGCAATTTCAGCTCAGGAGAGTTTTCCCAGGCCCTTTTTCCTTGCCAGAAAAGAAAAACAAGGCAAACTATGAAATTGCTGGCTGCCTCTCTACCCCAGCTTCCTTATATAACTAATTTTCAGGCTTTTTCAGGCTTTTTGAAGGTGTCTGCCCACAGTCTTTAAGAAGGTAAAAACCTTTTATCACTTACCAGCAAAATTACAGTTGGACTTGATGATCTTAAAGGTCTTTCCAATATAAGTTATTCTTTCCTGTGAAAATAACACTTCCAATGACAGAATTTCAATACAAGAGTACACTTATGCTACACACAGTGCCAACTTTACGCAGTGCTTTTGCATCATGGGTTAAAGATGTTTGGAGACTAGCTACTTAAACGTGGGTTAGAAATGTTAAACCTTTTCTGATTATCATTAAATAACATTACTGCAAAAGCCACTCTTTCAGCTAGGATAGGAAATAGCCATGTAGGCAAATATCTTTTTATCTTGTCATTTCATTCATTATTTTCTCTTATAAATATTAATTTATGATGATTTTGTCTTGGCTCTTTGAATCGGTATTTGCCTGAATGCAAAGTGGATAGAAAATTTGCCAGCTTATAGAAAGGTATTTGCTTTTGTCACAAGATATAGGATATCAGAGAATCAAGCCCTTAAGTCCTGCTTACCAGATAAGAAGAGCCTGGTATTTTTTTCCTTGCTATAGGAAAGCCTGTTTTACCAGCTCTTCATTATCTCTATTTAGCCAAATCGGCAGTTGAAGAGAACAGAGTCGAATTTAAAAAAAGGCAGATACGGGCCAATGGAGACCCTTGAATGTTACTTGCATCTGAAATTAATTTACTCTGGCCACCTGAGAGTGTTTATCCACTTGGAGAGCAGGAAAAACACCATGTCTTACCTAGCCAAGCAAGACTGAAGAACATGGCTCACATGCAAAGGACATGCAGTGAATCTGTTCATTGCTACTTTAGCAGCAGCTGGAGGAATCAGTGGGACTGGGATCCTCATGTGCTGTACAAACACTGAGCAAAGGTACCTTCCACCTGCAAGAGCTAACAGCCTAATGAGGCAAGAGCAACAAAGAAAGGCAGGAGGCTTCACACAAAGGGGGGGTTGTAATAGGTGATTTTTAAAGGTCCCTTCCAACACAAATTATCCTATAAGTCTATGAAAACATAATGTAAGCGTGAGCCTATAGTTATATTTCAGTCTCAGGGACCACAGACCTGAGTGTTTTTAAGTGTTGGCCTTTCTCCCATGGTCCCACAGCTAAATGTAAAGCTGCAGAGAGCTCTGCTCCTGATGTATCACAGCACCACACCACAGATAGTATTATCTGTGCAGCTCTTCTTCAGGACAACAGTGTTCTCTGAAAAGTCCAGTGTCTTAAACATGCAAGCAACACACAGTCCCTTCTACTTCGACATCTTTTATCGGGGCTGCCACCAGAAAAAAGTAGTAGGGTTAGCAATGACGCTTAGCCCATGTGTATCTGGGATTCCAAAGGATGAAAAGAGGTCTGAACAACCATGTGGCAGCCAGAGGGGCCTGGCACCTCAGAAAAACAGACAGTAACCATATCCATCAAAGTACAGGTCAATGACCTTTTGCTCAAAGCCCTCTTGAACTTGATACATTTTTAAAATCAGCTGGTGGTTGAACATATGTTGCAAAAACAGCACATCAAAGTGCCACCTTAGATCTTGAGTGTCCATAAACTTTCCATGACAGCAGCAGAGCACACTGGCAATGAACATTAAGTTCCTGCAGAGTTCAGGCCTGACTTTTCTAGTGCTTAGGTCGTACACTATGCTCTGTTTTAGGTAAAACCTACCCAGGTTACAGGGGAGGCACAAAAAAACATTAATGTAAGCATTCATAGTGCAGAAAAAAAAAAAATTGCTTCAGTTCAAGCAGAAGAACAAACAACAGTCACCCAAGGACAAGGGAAAGCACAGTGGGTTAATTTGGCTACCCATCAAGGCCTTAGTGTAATTACACAGTGACATCTTGCTGTGTTATTGTGTCTTCATTAAGATGAGTTTGGGTTTATGGTGTTGGATTTGATACAAATTTGTGGGCATAATAGCATAATTAAATTAAGAAATTAATTTATGTAAATATAAATAGAAGTTTGCTGTATAGTTATTGCTCCTGTTACCAAATTTGGAACTTTGCTATCTTGATCAGCTTTCCTTGCTCCACTCTTTCTCCAAATCTTCTTCTGGGTTTTTTGGTCAAAAAGATAAAACCTCATCCCTTTTGCAGAGCTCTGCATTTAATTGGTGCAAGTCCTCAAAATCTGAGTTCTGCTTTTTTAAAGCACGTGACAAATTGCTATAGACAAAGATGCCGAGATGGCACTAAGCACATGACTGAGGCTTGCTGGGTTTTGATGATGGAGTGTCACATGCTGCCAAGCTGTCTCTAAACAAAATCATTTGTACAGTAATAGCAGCTGAGATGTGAAACACAGATTAGACAATTTGATGTTTTGAGGTATTTTTTTTCTGAAGGTCTGATATGAAAAGAGAAATCTGGAGAAAAAGTAGAATAAAATGTTCATACAATGTTGTTTTTCCCTTTGAATGGGAGGGTAGAATGACTGGGAAATGTTTCAATTCTTCAATACTACAGATGAAATATATAAAAGATCAGAGCAAAAATCAGGATGAGAGTTTTCAGATCCCATTTTTTTTAGAGAAGTTACACAGAAAAACCTTTATTATGAAGGTGTTACAAAGTTTATCTTCTTGCATAAAATGTTTAATTTTATTGTGTTCATATACACAAAGCCTAATTTTGCTACAGAATCTTGCCTATGATGATAAAGTACTGTGTAGGTACTACACGACTACTAGAAGGTCTGGTATCGTACCAATATTACTCTCAAACCTTAAGACTGAGCTGACCTCACTGGAGTGCATATACAGAGATTTCCAGACAATCTTCTTCTCTTCTCTCAAGAAGGAGAATCTTCTATTTCTCCTCCGAATTCATTATAGCATTGTCTATTTGTGAACACTAGGGCTACGAGAAGAACTGGCTGAATGGCAGAGCTCAGAGGTTGTGATCAGCACAGCAGAATCCAGATGGAGGCCTGTAGTCAGCAGTGTGTCCCAGGGGTCAATAGCAGGTCCAGTCTAATCCAACTTGTTTACCAATGACCTGCACAAAGGGATGGAATTTACCCTCAGCAAGTTTGGTGATGATATGAAACTGGGGCAGTGGCCAATAGAGACCTGAAGACTGTGCTGCTGTTCAGGCTGGAAAACTGGGTGGAGAGAAACTTAATGAGGTTCAACATGGGCAAGTGCAGGATCCTGTACCTTGGGAGGAATAACCCTAAGTACCTGCATCAGCTGGGAGCTGGCTCCTAGAGACCAGCTCTGTGGAGAAGGAGCTGGCAGTCTTGGTGGACCATCAGTTGACCATGAGCCAGCAGTGCCTTGTGGCCAGGAGGGCCAACATTATCCTGGGGTGAATTGGGAAGAGTGTGACCAGCAGGTTGAGGGAAGTGATCCTACCCGCTACTCAGCCCTAGTGAGGGCACATCTGGAAAGCTCTGTCCAATTCTAGGCTCTTCACTACAAGAAAGAAAAGATGTGACTGTAGAGGGTCTAATAGAAGCCAGGAAGATGATGAGGAATCTGGAGCTTCTCTCTTATGAGGAGATACTGCATGTGAGATATGAGGAGATCCTGGGAGAAGAGGGAACTGAGAGGGGATATCATAAACATATACAAATATCTCAGAAGCAGGTGCCAAGAGAATGGGACCAGACTCTTTTCAGTGGTGCCCAGCAAGAGGACAAGGTGCAATGGCCATAAACTAAAACACAAGAAGTCTCACCTCAACATGAGAAGAACTTCTGAGGGTGGCAGAGCACTGGAACAGGCTGCCTAGGGAAGTCATGGAATCTCCCTCTTTGGAGACATTCAGAATCCACCTGGACACATTCCTGTGTCACAGCTCTAGGTGACTCTGCCTTGACAGGGGGTAGGAGTAAATGATCTCCAGAGATCCTTTCCAACCCCAGTGATTCTGTGAACTTTCTTCTGAAGTTAAAAATAAATGGCATTGATACCTTCTATTTGCAACACTTGAATTTTGGTCAGAGATATGCCAGCAAGCAAATTTACCTGTAAGTACTTCACATTGCCCTATACATCTACTGGTACCTATATTTGTCCTTATGCAGAGGACAATAAATTAAACACATCTAGGTATATACCTATGTATAGGCTGTATGCCATTTCTACTTGCTAACAGGCTTGTTGTTGAATAAATAAAGCTTCATTTCTTTGACTAGATATTTCATTTTCCCCCACATTTTTACTTCTGTAGTTATTTTTACCCCTGAAAGATTTTTTGAGAAGGGGATTGTTTCCTTGAATTTGCAGTTATCTAGAATATTCCACCTCTAAATGTCTCCAGGCAGACAACCATTAAGGCAAAAGCATAATAGAGCTGCTAAATATTCACAGGACCATAAAGGAGCCCCATGAATCCCAGATGGGAAGGTGTTTGTTCTTAGCAGAAAATTTTGCATACAGGGAGCTAAAGGACAGAAAAGACATGGTACTCCAAGGAACTGTCACCTCGAATCATTGCTCTGGGCCAAGGTAACTCAATCAAGATAACTCAGCTTAAGATGCAGGACAGATCTTCTGAAATTAGCTCTTAAAAGGGAGTCTTCTTTTCTTCCCTTATTGTTACATAAGAGAAGAAGAAAACTTAATCCCTCTACGAAGCAACTTGAAGGGCAAGCTGGTGTATTGAGCTGGCCAGAACATGCTGATCTGATTTGTGGATGTCATCTCTGGGATGACATCAAGACACACTCCCTGCCTTGTGGTCTCAGTGCTAAACTTGCCACAAGCATGGTCAGATCCACCGTCATCTTACTGAGGGCACAAACGACTGTGGGTGTCATCACTGTTTAAAAAGGGTCCCAGAGTAACAGCTGAGAACTATGATTTCCCAAACTGGCAAGTCAGGATGGAGCCTGGGTATGTTATGGGATAATCCAAGGCAATGGATCATAGTCATGGCCAGTCACCAAGGCTTGGTCTGCAAGGACGAGGAAATTCTTTGGTTGAGAGGTGAGATAAAAAAACATCTGACACACTAGCAGAAATATGAAAATGAAAGACAGTCAAGAGACTTGGGTGACCAGCTCAGACAGAAGGCAGGGAGATTAATTTTCCCCCAGTTCAAAAATATTTTAATATAGTGTCTTGTTC